ATATACAAATATATTTGCATTTCTAATATATTTGTACATATACTGCAGCAATGTAAAAGGTCCCTTTTGGCAGCAGGCCAGGTTGATAATTATGCCATATAATTGTAACCTAAAGCCTGTCGCATATCAGTAAAAGGATAAGAGGATCATGGTATGCCCATAATACCAGGAAGTCTGCCCTAAAGGCAGAACTAYCTGCAAATACCAGGTCTTTGTACAAGAGATATAATTTTATGCCCAAGTGTAATAGCAGGAATCCATCTCTGAAGAGARTAAGCAGCAAAACGCCTTCCAATTCGGAAGCTGCTTTCCTTTTAACATTTTGCTTTGGATTTAATCTCTGCAATGTCTTAGTGGACTGATAATAAGAAACCTTTGCACTAGAGTGTAAGGAGACAGACCCACTGATATGCCACTGTATTGAAGCCTGGTAATATTTACTATTGCAGTTCTTCTTTAGAAAAAAACACTGCTGAGAGCTGGTTGCTGAGCATTGCCCAGAAAAACTCCTTTTTTAGGAATATTAGGCTAGTTATATTTCCCACTGACTACAGACAGACAAAGGCACGAGTTGTGATAATAGAGCCCCACTGCTGCTACAWATCTCCTCTGCAGACTGTTCTGCTGCTCTAATTTACCTGGCCCACGCTTCACTTTCCTKTTTTTGTAAAATTGGGATCATATGGCCCTTAATCTCATGGAAATATTTTTGAGATCTGACTGTAAAACCCTGGCAAAAACCTTACAATGAAACATTAAACAGCAGCAAGAGAGTCCGTATGAGCACATGCGGTCGAGAAACCGCAGGAAGCAGATAAGTGGTTGTCCCAAAGATCTTACAGCTACGGCAGCTTTGGAAAGAGGCTGGTTTGCCTGGGACTGGGCAGGGGAAGGAGCAGGGCTGGGGCAACCCTATACTTACAGCAACCCGAGCTCTTGCCTTTAAATAATCAATGTTGTGTGAATCCGGATTACACCCAAAGGACGTCCCTGTACCACTCTCTTGGCCCAAGCAATTGGTGAACTTCTGTGGGATCCCAATAGTACAGTTATTAAAAAATTAAAGATAAACAAATGAATACAAGCAGAATTAACATTTTGTAATGAAATAGGGCTTTATACACATACACCCCAAAAAAAAAAAAAAAAAAAAAAGCCAGGGTGCATTGTTCTATTTAAAATCAGAAAATATGATTAAGTTTATCACTTACAGTCAATGTGGTGGAAAATCGGAGTGACATTTACATGAAGTAATTTATATTAATTCTCCATGTTTTTTCCATAGTCTTCAACTTGCAAAACACTTTCCTAATACAGCATGAAAACAGGTATGGACAGTGCATAGCAGTCTTCTTGCTGCAAGCACAAACTGAGACTACCAAGGTAAGTACCTCTTCTTTTTCCTTTCCTAATGTCCCAAGGATGTTTTTCCCCATGGAATACTTCCGCATGGGCAATATTGTACTTGCAATGTTTCCGAGTAGTTACATTTGACCCAAACAACACAAAAACAAATCCCCACACCTCCTCAGTTTGCAGGCTCACTATTTGCTGATTTCTATTTGTTACAGAAATTTTCCTGTTGCGCCTGTGTCAATGTYATATCAAGGCTGATAGTAGGTCATATTCTCACTTGAGAACATTTTCATTCTCGATTGCTAAAAAATTCCCAGTTCTTGCAAAAGAGGAACAAGGCCACTCAGCCCCTCCAGAGAAGTTAAAGCCTTCCTTGGGAACAAGTACAGTCATGCCTGCCCCAGAAGACTTCACTAGGCTYCTCTAAGCACAACACACATCCCACAACTTCAAATTTTATTCTTAAGAATAAAGCAGAGTAGATGGATTATTTTCAGGGCCAAGCAATGAGTGTTTCTCATTTCTGTTTCCAAGTCACTGGATCRTATTTGAAGCAGGCAACTACTCGGAGAGAAGTCTCCTCCTCTCCTGTTACTGAATTATGACCTGACCCTTCCAAAGCTGTCTTCACCCAAGGCACTTCCAACTTTCCAGTYTCACCGTTTCAGCCTGCTGGGCAGTGAAACCCTCTCATTAAAGGCTGTTTTCACAGGAATGTGGTAACACTACAGACTACAGCATTCTCTTGTCGTCGGTCTCTCTCTGATCCCCTCAGCAAGGCTGACTTGTCCTGCTCCCAAACCCAGTGCTGTCAGTATGATGTTAGAAACTGAAATTCAATGCATATTTCCACAGACCTTCCAATTTAAACAACTAACAGGAGGAGTCAATTACACCTTGTGTGACAGCAGGTGACAGATATGTCAGGGGGGACACAGCTCGTGGCATTGACAGCCCTGGAGCTGCCCTAATCAGCACAACAGTGAGCCTAAACTGCAAGAACAGATATTATTAAATTAAATATTAATTACACAGAATTAGAGTGAAGCCTGTAGCAAATATCAAAATTTGAAGTAAATTTCACTTGCAGTCTCTGGCCCCAGACACAGAGTTTAACACAAATGGTCTTAGGAAATGGGAGAATTGAATTTCTGGKATCATTCATATTTACTTTGGGAACTATGAGCATGGGGCTAAGGAAACATAGAGTAGAATTCAAGACTATGATGGATATGTATCTGATTTAGTAAAATTTTCAGATCCTCTAGGATTACACATAAGATTTCCTTCTTGTTACAGAAAATGTGGGTGTCACAGATAGAAACAGCAATCTCCAATAACACTAAGCAACACAAAACCAAGAAAAGAACTGTTTTCTGCTTCCCAGCTGAATCCTCTGGAATTTAATGTCAGCACAACACCGACGGATCTAGTGGAAGAGTACTGTGGAGATAACACAGTTATTCCTTCTGGCATTCCTTAAGTTTCTGAAAGCTATGGACTTCTGACTTGACAGAAGTAGTGAATTTTGGTCACAGGGGCACAAATGAGTTAAACAACAAATGAGTCCCTCTTGGATGCTCTTTTGCTTCAGCTAGAGGAAGACTCTTGCAACCTAGATCATACAGCTTTTGTTTCCTAGAAAGCAGGACAGGGTAAAAAATATGCTAGCCAGGAAAACACATTCATCAGAAAGACCTAGAAGAGCTTTTCAGAGCTCCTTCAAACTGTATGGTTTCACAAAATCCAAACTGTGGGAATCTCTCTGATCATACCTTGCGTAGTTATCGCTATTTATCTTAAACTGTAACATTGTAAGATGTTACTGCACATTAACAAAGTGCTTAATGAGGTAGATTTGTAAAAGGCAAATATTATGTTTGTTCTTATTAACTTTAAAAATGAGAAGATAATGTGGGTGTCTCCAGTTCCTTTGAAAACTCTCAGTTCCACTAGATGTGCTAAAATCTGTGTGTATGTGTGTGTATGTATACACAGAAACTAAAGTCCAAAGGTCTCTCATTTTCACTAAGCTGAATTAATATAATTATTTTACCTGAAGTTTTTTCACCGCTTAATAAACAGATTTGTCAGATTACAGACTGTGTGTTCTCAGTCCATCTTTGGCTTTGGAATTCCATTTGCTCTTTCTTGTCTTTTTAACTCGACTTCAACAAGTTAATCATCATCTTTTGCATTAAACCATTCAATATTTCCCTGCTATCCCACATCTGCAGTCCACATCACAAGAGTGCGCTCTTGCTAAACACCTTTTTGAGATACTAGAGGAGACGCAAGTACCCCTTCCCCTAGAGAATCTCTTCCCCCACAGAGACCCCTGCTCGGCAATTGCCTGCTACAACATTCATGCAAGTTACCACTAAGAAAAAGGGAGACCTGTAGCCCCTCTAAAGGATTCTATCTCTTCTCCTCTGTTTCTAACAAGAAAATTTAGCCATTATTTCTTTGGTATTGGAAATTATCTCATGGTGAACTAAACAGAGGAGCTATAGAGCGGAGSACTGCCCAGAAGAGGCTAGGGATGGACTACCTGGATACCTGGATCYACTACCTAGTGTTCGTCTCTGCTGAAGAACCAAATTCATCACAAGTTCAGGTGTCCCACCTAAACCAGCTCCTCACCAGTAACCCACTAGGATGTGGAGGTGCCTCCTATTCACTTGAGCTCTTTCACCTTTGCACGTGGGCCAGGGATGCCCCATAGCTCAGTAACCTCTTTGTCATGGGGCTGGTCATGCCCGGCTCAGTCATCGGGTTGCACCTTTAAAGAGATTCTCCTCAGAATGTTCTTCCATTAGTCTTAGGAACAAAAACAAACAAATCTGAGTCTTCAAGTTATACAAACTGTCAGACTACCTCAAATGTTTTATGTCTGAAGACAAACTTTAATTGAACCTGGATCCCCAGSAGCCATAAGCAGTTATTGGGAATGGAACAAGCATCCAGAGTTAAACTCATGAAAACTAAATTTGAAGAACAGCCTCTACCACTGCTGCCTCAGGACAGTGAAAGCTTTTGTTGCAGCCCCGACTGGACCACGGAATTGGAAAATGTAGCCTGTTCTCAAGTGCGTGGCTTTGCAGCAGCTCATCAATGCGTTCACCATCTTCAAATAACTCTGCTGCCTACAGCGGGGCAAGATCATTTTGAATGACAGAACTGGTTTATTAGAAAGGTCTAACTTTTTTATTGTCATTCATCATTCCTTTAACAGATTAGAAAACAAAAATTACATTTCAATAACGTTTCATCTTTCTTTATACAGAGCTGGTTGATGCATGGGGTCATTTTCTTGTCCAAATCCACAGCCACCTTCCAAACGGCAGAGTTTTGCATTTACAGTGCACACTGGACTAAACTCTTCCACAACGTAAGGCACAACTACATGATCACAAGTAGTAAACAAAAACATTGAAAATGGGACAAAAATCAAACTTCATTTAAAAAAACACACACACACATGCATGCATAAATCTATCATCTACCCCTACAAAGATTGCATGATCCAGTTTAAAAGTAGTGCAGTATTCTGTAGGTAAAACCGCATCATAAGGCTGTTATAATACATTACCTCTAAATATTGGGTGAGAACTTGAAACTTTTCCCATTCATGTATTTATACAATTATACAGAAAATAAATTGTATATGCAATATTCACATCTGCAATAAGAAACYGATCATTAAAATCCAGGCAAGAGTCAAAAAAAAGACAATGCAATTTGTGGCACGCATCCATTACAGCCRACCGTTCATCATCTTGGGTACTGAAGAAATTAAAAAAAAAGAACCAAAAAACAGACAAAATTATTTTTTCATTTGGTGAATGAGGCTTTCTACAGTCAAATGACAAAGTTGTATGCAAAATTCTTGTTACCCATATTGCTACCCAGCAAACCATGACCGATAGCTTGCAGTTATGATTTATTTATTGTCCAGCAGCTAGAATTTGCAGGATTGAAATTACAGAGGTTAAACAATATGGAGTTTATAYGATAACTTGAAGCCATTGCATACTTGCAAACATATACACAAAGACTTATTTTTTTTTTTTCCTTTTTGGTGATAAACTTTTGCAGTTTGGCATTCACTACACTCTTACACAACATGACAGTGAGCAGACCATTTAAACTATCCTAATGGTTGAATTTCACACTGAGAGGTAGTTTAAATAAAATTGTATGTAACGGCATCAAATAGTGGGGCTGTGGCTTTATGTTTTTTTGTTTTTTTTTTTTTTCCTTTTCTTACAAAAGTGACAAATCCTACACAAGCAGTATTTTGAACACATTGCTATAAAAAGTTCTGGTATCTGCTAGGCCAGTGAGACATTCCTTCAAATATCCCCTTTGTGCCAGGAGCTGGGATTTAGTGTGACAGAACAGAGTCCTCTGCAGCAAAGTCAACAACGGGAGCCTGGACCTGCCCGTACGGGCCCCTTGGCTTAACCCCGTTGACATGTTCTCTGCATGTCACTCTTCCTAGAGCCCTCTGCCCCAAAAAGGCAGGAAGTAAAGATGAATTTACTCTCAATTTTGGGTTTTATGGGGAAGGAAAAAAAATGGAAAATATTCCAACTAGGGTTCTGCTTTCTTAGGAACGTTGTACCAAAAGGGTTAGCAGGGTTTTAGGTAGTCTTCACTTGACCTAACCCAGTGAGCAGATACTCCTTACCTGCTGCAGTGAGTGCATAGTACGTGGTGCGCTATAGATGAAGGCAGAGTTAACTACACTACACTAGGAGCTACTCTCCACTGTGATCTGAAGTGGCACCTATTTTTGTCTCTCTCTAGACAGACACACACACACACACCCTTCTTTATTCAGAGTTCCTTAAAATGAAAGCAATACCCCCGAAAGAAGAGTTTCTGAAGAAAGCTCTTACTGCCTAATTATTACTGTTTCTGAAATCATTTATTTATGGAGAAACACTGCGGTTGGACATTAAAACTTATCCTATAAGAGATGTTGAGGYCAAGACTTCAAAAATTTAACACTGGACAGCAGGTAAGGGCTTTGAAAATACATACTGTTCACGCACTCTATTTCAAATCTTCAAAAGAAGCTCCACAAAGACAGTATGTGTGTGACTACATGAATTCTGTTGTTACATATGCTCTCAGGTGATGACCTTATCCAAAGGAATTATGTGTGGGCACATGTAATTCAGTGACAAAGATAATCTTTCTAATGATTACAGCTAACACGTCCAACACCATTCCACCAGCTGTGGATCACAYGCAGTTATGTCAGACAGCAAAAAGTGCACAGTGCAAGTGACAGTGTTGTCTCCTAGTCCTCCAGGGATATTTGAGAGTGGGAAGAGTAGTTTATCAGCTTCAAAATATTCAAACCATAGTATCGTTCCAGAGGTTCTTCTTGGTCTTCTGGAAATAGTTTATCTTCTGTTTGAACGTAAGCTCCAGCAGTTTTCTGTCAGCCACCAAGTGGTGAACGTAAATTTTTAAKTTTTGCAAAAAGCGTTTGCTAACACTTTGTTGTTAACTGACATTTAAATCTAGAAAAGCACATGGGTTTTCCAGTTCCCCTCTTCTATAGGAAGGCAATTTTTCTTACTTACATCTAGTACACGAGACATGATCCTTCTTGCTAACATAATACAAACATGGCAAGGTTACTTCACAGCTCTGCTCACAACCCCCTACCTGCTTCACTAAGAAAGGTCCTCCAGTAAGGATTCATAAATAATCCTGGTCACCTCCAARAGCAACCTAAATGGTTATTCATTGCTCTTGCAGACTCGGTGCTCTGCAGTCCTTGACAACTCCTTACCTCCAAAAACAGGAAAAAAAAAAAATCACTGTGCTCTACAGTCAGACTTTGCAGTCTGGGTTCCAGAGAATGCAGCCAGGTGAAAAATGAGCTCCCTCCAAATCCACAGCCTCTTCCCTCTGCTGGAAGTTGCAGAAGGACATTTTTTTCAGCTCTTGACGGGCAGCAGCTTTTCCTATTGCGACACATTAATTTTATCCTCTTTCTTCAGCCTTTGCAGCAAGAGGACGATGAGGGGAAGGGAAGGAATATAAGGGAAGAAGCAGGGAAGCATACCCAGCTAAGGTCAGAAGCTCACCACTCAGGTCAGCAGTGCTCTGTGCCTCCATAAGAATTGCAGTATAGAAGCAGAACAAAAGGATTTAGCATTTTGGAAGCAACAAGAAAGGGCATCCTGCCTCTTTGTCTTGGGAAAGATCCAGCATCTCCAAGAAGACTCCCTCAAAAAGAACATCCTCTACACTGCTCAGACAGCCTCCACGGTTTGCCTTGGTCCATGTAGCAGCCATCCTCTCATATAAAGCTTCTTTGGCGCTGGTCCAATGGTCCCTCCTGTGGGACATCGAATCCAAAGCTGGAAAAACAAATCCCACACTTAACTGMACCATCCCTGATGGGACAGTAATTGCTAGTAATCATAAAGCAACGCCAGAAGCTTACATACTCACTGGTTTGAGTATGGTTTTGTGAGTAATGCTTTTTACAATTTTTCTCTATCTCTTGCTCTACAGTGACTCTTCCCTTGGTGAATCAGCACAATCTGGTTCTTGCTGTTGAGACTGTTAAAACACATCCCCAAACTTTCTCTCGTTCTTAAGGTTCTGGTCTCTTCTGTCATTTTATTAGTTTTTCCTCTGCTTCTGTTTTTTCAGTCTGCAGCTCAGTATATTAGACTATTTTGCCTTGAATCCTTTAAATCAGTGCGGCGGTAAAATCATCCAGACCTTTTACTGTTTTCTTATTTATTTTTTAAAGCAATGCAAGAAGCAACCACATACCCACCGACAATCTATCTGTGCCAGCAGCCATCAAAACATTCAAAAGYTGCAGGGAGAATTATAACAAAGCTTTTCTCCTTCCAGTTTCTCTTTTTATCCATCTCATGGGTCATTTTACTGAGCTTGTACACAAATTCTAACCTGGCAGAAAGACTGAGAGCAGGACATGGCCTATTATGCCACTAACTCGGCAATGAATACAAAGCAGCATGGAGAATCATAAACAGAAAGGAAGGAGCAGAAAATTTAGCAATGAAGCCGTAAGTTTGCTGCAATGAAAAGCTGCACAACTCTGCAACTATTGCTGCAGCTTCACACTTCAAGGATGAAAGCTTCTACTCCCAAATGCCTGCTCCTTATTTTAACAATCCAACAACCCTTCTTTCTATAAATATGCATTTTAAAGCATTTTAATTCCCTCAAAATCATATAAACTGGTCAGAAAAAAAAAGCTTCAAAAATCAAGCTGGCTTTGCCACTTAAGGTGGAAACTCCAGACTGAGGGTTGTTCTGCAGCCAAGCAACTCCACTGTTTCTGCCACCAGCCAAGATGACCTTGCCTGCCATCACACAGACTTAATAAGGCATCCCAAAAGGCAGAATTAAGAACAACTCTACTTGAGCTTCTACCATTTCCTCTTTAGGACAGAGCTCTCCTCAGCTTGCAAATGTACCAGATCAGAGGTACATTGCCTTAACACAGCGGTTCTTTTAGCCACTTCCCTTAGTCTCCTTCAGAGTCTTCCAGCTTCCTGTGCTTCATGCACTTTTCATGCAGTCATGTTTTTCTTCCCTCTTAAAGGCTCTTTGGCTCCATGTGATCATCCTTCGCCCAGCAGGCAGTACTAGCATCTGTGTTGTACAAAGGGACCTAGTGCACCTGCAGCAAGAGCATCACATCTTCACCTTGCTCAGTTTCCCAAAGTCATGAGTGAGACAACAGAAGGCTTCAAATCCAGCTCTCCAGAAGCAGACACTGACCAAGACAAATAATGAGTCTAATGGCTCTGTTAATCTGGATTTCTTCAAGGAATTATTTCTGTAGAGGAGGCAATTTTCAAGTGTATACCTGCGCCAGAAACACTGGCAGGTACTTTAGATAAACCCTTCTTGTGTTCCAAGCCTTTCCAAGGCTAGAAGAACCAGCTAAGCACTTTGCACTTCAGCAGCCTTTTCAAGTGTACAAAAATCTACAGAGAACTTCTCTGTAAAGAAGAAAAAAAATGGGTACAAATTTAAAATTACAGAAGGAAACTAGGAAGGGGTATGAAGCATAGAGATCACTCTGGGAAAAAAAAAAAAAAGAGTTATCTTTTCACTTAAGAGTTAGGCAGGCCTAGACATTTTTCATAAAAGAGACTCATCTCTCAACTCACGCGGAGTGCTAGTCACAGATAAAAGCAAACTAACCTGCCTAAAGATGGCTCAGCTGCCATCACTGTCACAGAATTTGTTCCCTTAACTTGGTCAAGAAATAGAGGATTCCAGGCTGCAGTTCTTCTCTTGGAGCAATCAGCACAATATTCTAAAATAGAAAAGGCCCTGGATTGTGCATGATTTAAGTGGATTTTCAAGACAAAGGATTCTTCATTATTTGAAGGAGTATTTAATAGTTGAAGGAGTATCTCAAAAGAAATATCCCTCTTGGTTTTGGGGTACCAGATACCTATTTTGGAAGGGGAAAAGATTAGAGACAGGTCGACAAGAAAGAAGAGGTGCAAGTAAATCATGGAAAAAAAAAAAAAAAGAGGTTTGGGTGAACTCTGCCAAAAAAGTCTCTTGCAAGAAATGAGAAGAAAATATGAACAAATGTTGAAAGGAGAGAGAGAGAGAGAGAGAGAGAGAGAGAGAGAGAGAGAGAGACAGAGAGAGAGACAGAGACAGAGAGAGAGAGAACCCTTAATTGGAGCTGTTTGACTTATAACTAATCTAGTAGCAGGAGATTCATATTACTCTCCTGAGTAGACTAAACCACAGAACCAACATGCTAGTGAAGACCTGCTGAGAAAAGTTCAGTAACACAAGTTCAGATGTGGCAGCAGAAAAATCAGGTTTGTTAGGCAGAATATGAATTCAATTCTTCCAGCAAAAGCTGGAGAAAGGGACAGAAGAAGAGATCAGAAAAACTGCAGCAGTCTCTGAAAGAGGTTTTAGCATGCTGGCTACCTAGCATGGAATTTCAACATGTGTCTTAGAAAAATAAGGTCTTTTTTGGGCTTCCAGAGTATGGGGAATGGTTCAGATGGGGTACAGRCTACTATAAATACTGTTTCTTGCTTTTTAAGATATGAGGATTTTTGGACTAGTAAATTCCATTTATGAAATGTGCAAAAGTAAAATCAACCAATCTCCTGTATTAAACAGGAGAGCTTCGTATAATATTCCCACAATGCCAGCTAAACTCTCACCATTTGTTCACACCAGTTCTCTCACACACACACAAAGAAACGAAGCAGTACAGGGTGTGCACAGATATTCCAATATCCAGGTGCTGCAGCTGAGTAAGGACATAGGTGCTAGTACTGCAACRAGTTCTACGTTTGCAGACAAAACTCTGAGTTGGAGGTAAGTCCAGCTGTTCACCCTCATTGTGGAGTTGAACTTTACAGAAATTCCAAGAACATGAGGAAAAAAAAAGGAAACAAAAATCACAAGGAATTGTAAAAAACATCAGCTATGCGATCAGATGCAACAATTAGTTATGTCATTACAGCAACATTTGATACACAAAATCCTCACAGATTTTTGCATCTTCCTTTTTCTTTGACGGAAACAAGAATAAACTGCAATATCACATAAACGCTGTTTCTCTTGAACAAAAGAAAAGATAAAAAAATACATTGTTACTCCTCTGTTTAAACTTTATTTACAAATAACTGGGTATTTCTATCTAGACCTAGAAGCTCTTTCCAGGATAAATGGCAATAAGCTATGGATGATCYGAGCCCATGTCTCACAAAAAATACAATAGTTTTACTTGGTATCAATAAACATTTTAAAATATACTAATTTTTGCCAAGTGTTACAATCATTGTCCAAACTGAATAGTAGTCTGAGTGCGGAACGAAGTGCATCGACAGAAATTCTAAACTTTAGTGTAACTTATCCTTGTCACCCAAGGTAAGTCAGTTATCCTTGCAAGTCATTAAAGCAAGTATCACAGACCCGGACAGGCTTCTTAGAAGAGGGAGTTAAGGCATTCTTTGCTGAGCACTCAGCACAAAAGATATTTCCACATTTTCTACAGTGATGCTGTGAAAGAGAAAAAAATACATGCTGAACATCAATTACACTGTAAGGGGAATAGACCATTGATAGAGATCATTATCACATCAGGTCAACTCTCTTTCAAAAGTTAGTTCACTTTTCTAGTTGGCAGAGTAACACAGCGCTTTGGGCATAAGCACACAAAGAAGGGCATAGGAGAAAACCCTTTCCTAAGAGCAAAGGAGTAAAATATCCAGGAGTACTTCACAGATTCAGAAGACTATATGTCACTTTCAAAATTGAGCTGGGTCACTTGCAAACACCACCAGCTTAGGTACTCCGTAAAGTTGTCCTCTTTAACTTATTTTGATCTCCTGAAACATAATCTTCCTACGGCTTATCAACTGTGTCCACCTGGAAAGCACTCTTGAACCAAAGGATCCAGCTGGTTTTGTTCAAAGGTTCCCAATAGTGAGAGTTACAAATGATGCTGGACAGGCTGAGGCACCTAGGCCTCAGTCAGGCAGCACTGCACAAATGAACCTCAGGAACATCCCTCATGTGCCTCACTGCCGGATCGGTTGTGGGAGGGATGCAAACCCTGACTGACCACAGATGTTTTGCAAAGCATGTGTGACCCCAGACCTAAAACCTAGCCAGCTGGCCAGATCCCTGTCTAACTTSTGTTTAGAAAGGTACAGTCACAAAGAATCAGACTGCATTCATGTCTCATATATTCACATGCATCTGGTTTCAACAGATTTACATTCCTTTATATCTGTATATTTGCTCCAGACATAAACCTTATTTTTAATAGTTAAGGCACTACAAAAAAAAAATCAGGGCTTTAAGATGCACTAAGTATCATAGCACTTTCAAAATTATCCAAAGTTAAAGAGATTGAAAGCAACAGAAAAAACAATCCCACAGAGACCTGGTAAAATCCACCTACCCTTCTCACTGTCACCGAAAAGCCCTTCCCACAGGCCATACAATTCTGTACCTCGTTGTCTTCTGCCCACTTCCTATTGAGAGCTTGGGTTTGTTTGATCTAAATACATATACACAGAGAAAATAAAAAGCAAAATTTTAAAAYGCATGTTTAATTCATTTAGCTTTTTTTCTATTGCTTTGGACAAGATATCCAAAGCTGTATAAAAGCACTAATTCAGCCACATTACTGAGAGGTGCATTTATTCAAGAAGAAAATCTTTCCACCTTTGAACCTTTGAGCAGAGTTCTGCTCCACAGCCAACAACATGAACATAAGATCTCAATCACTCGTGAAAGATAACTCATCACTAATACAACACAAACTTGAAACTCTCATGAGTTCCCCACACACAGTATCAGTAACTTAATGGCTTCAAATCAAGTCATACCTGTAGTGACTGGTTTTCTCGGCCTAGCTCCTGCATTGCAGCCGTAGTGTTGTCCAGCTTTTTCTTCATTTCTACAAGTTTGGTTTGAAGCTTTTCAATTTCTCCCTCACTTTTTATACACCTGCGGATGGACAATAAATATATCTAAGCATATAAAGCAATCCACATTGCCTCCTTCAGGAAGGCTGTCATAACAGACAAAATAAGTCACTCTCAGAAAACTCACTAAAAATACCCTACTTAGGAAAAGTTCTTGGGAATATCTTTGGGAAATGCTCTGATATAACAGTCAATTTGAGATTATCTGGAACTGGTCCCAAGAATCTGAGATTTATTAATATCTGGAGTTACTCCCAAAATCAGTCTGTCAACAGCATACCCTGATAAGCACCACTGTGCAACAGGACACAAAGCAGGTGAGAAAGAGGAGCAAAGAAGAAATCTTTTCACAAGGCCATTCCCTACTCGCTGAAATTTGGTTAACTGGCAAAAGGCTAATTTCAAAAGAAAAAAAAAATAGTAGACAAGTATGACATACCAACACATCGCTGAAGAACAAGGATCTCACATGAACTAATCTCATCCTTACCCAAAGTCTATTGCTCAAAACCAATCAGAAAGCTTGACAGTAGAGAAAAAATATTCCATTCTTCCTTCAAGCGTCTCAGGACAGAACAAAAATTCAGAAGTTTGTCAAATAGCTGKTTTTTTTCCTACCCTCTCTCAGGTAACACTACATTGCATTCCTGATGCTTAAAGAAAAGGAGCTCTACTTACCTGAATGTTCATAAATATAATATTGAGACAATTAAAAAATGATAGGAAGTAAGATTTTAGGTTTGCAAGAGGAAAAGAGATATTTGAAGTGAACCTTAAAAAAGTCTGTCTAACACAGTGTATGTTCAACCTCCCAACACTGAGCAGTGGACATACTTAGAAGTCCGTAACTTCTTTACTATTGAAGTCACTGAATAGTTCCAGACTTCTGGAACAGACTAGTGCATGTACTCTGATTCATTCAAGACAGGGTGATGGATAAGGGGAGTTTACTCAGGTAACGGCAGCCCCCTGTACTCCTTTCAGGCCTAGTAAGGTGCCCATAGCAGATGAGATGGGAAGCCACGGCCCACCCACTTCAAAGCTCAGAGGTGTACCTTGCATTTAACAGGCTTCCACGGATGGGCAAAAATCCCCAAATACAAGGGTACAGCTGTGGCTTTGGTAATAAGTAAGGCCCTGCCTGATTTCTGAGGACCTGTCAAAGCCCACAAAGCGCAGTGCGTAGAAACCGCGTCTCACTAGGCTCTGGCAGAGGCAACTGAAGAAAGTTTCACCCTGGAAACCACAGCCCAAGTTCTACCAACAGAAATGGATTCAAACAGAGCACATATGCCTAATCCTAARTCAACCAAAAGAAGGTTTCCAAGTAAGGCTAACCAGTTCCCAAACTGCCCTTCCACGCCACTGTGGCCACAGCTCACCTCTCCAGCAATGCTCTTCTCTCATCCTGGTTATTCTGCACTGTCGCTTCCAAGACAGCTATGTCCCCACGTAGATCATCCGTCTGTTTCTCCAGCTCGCTCACTCTCCTCTGGCTGCTCTGCCACTCTTTCTTCATGGTGGCCAAGTTTTCRTTCAGAGCTGTGACCTGCATGTTCAGCTTGGTCTCTTTTTCCTCATGTTTCCGGTTTTCTTCTTCTTTATCTTTTATCTCTGTGTTCTGATAAAACAAGGAAATATTTAAAAACAACAACCTTCCGAGTATCAAAGGTCTTAGCTGTGCTGGGCAAAGACACTCTCTGTTGTTTATTGTCAATTCTGGCAGTTATTTAACTGGTAYGTCTGCAAATTACTTTAGACATTTTATAGCTAGTAGCGATCCAGGAATATTTTAATAATGGAACATATTTTTCTTATAAATGAAAGATTCTTTCCCAATATACCACACTATAAACATCACTTTTAACTTACTAACCCTGTTACACATGACTATTATCCCCTTGAATTCCCCCTATGCTATTTAATGTCTTACAAAAGCTTTCTGAATGTATTTGCTCTTGTGTATTTGCTCACTTAAAAATGAAAGCAACATGAAACTCAAGTCAGCTCTTTGCTTCTTCTCTTTCCCTGAAAGAATGCAGAGGCATATTTTTCAAAGTAACAGCTCTAAACACTAAAATACTAACCAGTTTCGTTTCAATTTCAGTACAAGCTTTCTTCAGTTCTTCTTCTCTCTTTTTCAGCTGATCTTTGATCACTTGTTGGGCTTTTTTCTCTTGTTCTAGTGCTGAATTCATATTATCTACTTTGCCCTGCAGTTCTAATTTCTGTTGAATCAACAATTGCTTTGCATCCTTGAGATTTGTCACCTCCTGTTAGGATACAGAGTTCAAAGTTAGAGTGAAATGTAAAGTGTTAGTAATTCAAACCTATTGTTCATAAACCTGTATTATGAACAATAACTAATTTTTTAAACAAACGTAATGTACTTTCCACTGAAGTAATGGAAGTTCTGTTAGATTGTTTTCTACGTATCTTTCAAAAAGTCATATCATTTTCACTCAGTTTTTAAATGTATCTCACATTCTCTCCACATGCAAAAATCAGATTAAAAAATCATAGTGACAATATTAAAAAACAAATACTGATAGAAAAACTCAACATGCTAATTTCTATTAGTCCTAAATACATAAATATCTACTCTATGTTTTAAGCAAAGAAGGATGATGCTTTTGATTTTAAATATTTGTTTTAAATATTTCTCTGCAATAAAAATAAGAAGCCCTGAATGGAATTATTCTAGTTAAGGAAAATTATTCTTACAAAATTTAAAATTTAATAGCCAGCCATGCAGGTACCAATCAACCAGTAAGAGCTGCCAGATTTTCCATTGCTCAGGAGTGCCGGTAGAAATGTAAAATGAGTCAAAGGCAGCGGCTCTGGTAGGAGATAAAGAGTATAGGCCCGTAGAAATGATTTATATTTTAGCCCAGCTGCTTGTAGAGACATCGGGAGATGAATATTAAACTGCCATGAATGTGCACACACTTTATATACACCTTTGTAAATTATTTCTTTTTTTCAAGAGAGATTTCAGAAAGTGATGAGAATTATAATTAGCTTTCCTCAGATCTAAGAAAAGAAAGACTGGCCAAAAATTGCCTGACAAAGTTCTGACTTCTCTCTCTAAAAATAAGAAAGAGATCGTTTTTTAAACATTGGAAAACAAAAGAACATCTGAAACTCATAAAATACTCTGTTACTTCCTTTTCTTTATTAGCACATCAGCATAGAAGATGGCCACTGTACCTTCACTTATACTTGTGCAGCAACTTACACACTGTGCTTAACGGATGTAAATATGATTACTAATACTATAAGTATGGAAAAGACAACAGCAGCCTTTTAGGACTGTTGTTTTCCTCGGAGAGTAAAAAGGGAAAGATGTAGACTGTAGAAAGAAATTGTTCTATTGAAGACTAAAAATGACTTAACTAAAACCTCCAAATTCCTCCTCTTCAGAGAGCTCATTTGATCATTACGGTTTTGGAAGAGTTGTGGGTTTGGTTTTGTTTTTAATAAAGTTCCTAACATAATGTTTTCTCCCCCAGGAGTGATATTTTTTTGTACAACATTTTAAAAACCATAGCTAATCAAGGGAATTTCAGCTCTAGCACACACAATTGAGAAGTGCTACATGTGCCTTCAGTATCTGAGAAACTTTGTATTCATGACACTTTAGACATCTTTTCAGCAATGCAGAATAGCAATCAATACACACAGTGAATCTACAATTAAACAGAGGGAAAAAACAGGACATACAGTGCTCCTCTGAAGCTAAAACAAGCTTTGTGGTCCACCTGTCCAAGAAAACTGGACACCAGTGCTCCAGGATTATCACTAATCAAGTCAGCATTGCTCAGGAACCACAATGAAATCTGTGCTTTGGTTCCCTTACCTGTAATATTGATATTTACAGCAACCATCTTTGCAAAGCAATTCCAGATTACATCTACTGAGTAGGCACATATTTCTTATCAGACAACCAACCACCTGAAGATTCAGTTTGTCTCAATATACCTTCTCAAATTCTTGCTTGCAGGTTCTAAGCTCTTCACTCAGCTTGGCACTTTCTTTTTCAAGTCTACTCCTTATTTCCTGGAGCTCTGTTGTTTTACATTTTTCATTAGCCAAGTCCTTCTCTTTCAAAATCTTGAAGGGAAACCAGAAAGCATATGAAAAAAAAAAGTCATGCAACACCCAAAACCCTTGGTTACAAGTTCCAAGTAAGCAGACAACTGCCTTGCATCACAATTCACAATTAATAGTGCAGACAACTCACAGCACATTCATAGTCCAAGGTTTGAAACTAATAAAGCTTTTTCCCTATTTCTAGTGTTTCAGAACAAATTAACAGACTAATTTACACCTAATTCACTTCAACTATCTGTTAAAGTCTTTTGCAACAGGAAAATCTGCCTTTGCCTCAGATATTCACAACATTAGTGTTGTGTGTCAAAACTACTTGTTAGAGATGTACCAGGAATTAACTACAAGACGTGTGTGTGAAGATTTCAAAAGACGTTTACCTTGTCATTCTGAAGATCCTGCAACATTTTGGTCTTCTCACACAGCTGCTGCTCCTTCTTTGATAAATCCTGTTCCAGTGTAGACTTCGCTTTCTTAAGTTCCTGGATCTGCTGGTTACTACTAGCAATTCGGTTTCTGCTTGAAACTAATTCTTCTTGAGCCAGAGCAAGTTTTTCTTCTGTGGACTAATCATAAATACAACTTTTCAAATAATCTGTCAGCAGAGGGCYTTCAAGTACTCTATAGCCATTTAAATACTTTCTATGTATCCACAGGAAAAAAAAAATTATCTAATAAGTAAAACTTAGCTTCAAATTTTGTCAGAGTCAAATCAGAGAAAATTCTAATCATTACTTCCCCAGTAACAACAGCAAGATAATAGTTTAATGTACATATTTCAGTTTTGCATCCCTTCACAGACAAAACATATAGATATATAAAATGGCAAAGCAAAGAGAAAAAGCAAGCAAGCTGTCTAAGGAAAAGAGAATGAACTTGCTTACATAAGTATATTTCATTTTCTGGGCCAAACAACTGTGTTACAGCTCCACAGAATGAAGCAGGGAAGCTAGAGCATGAAGATTTCAAAAGTCACTCAGTGGCGTTTTATTTATCAGCTACTTAATGGAGACAGAACTAGGACAATCTTGAAATTTTTAAAAATCCTGAAGTAAAATGTACAACCTAAGAAATGCTACTCTCTGAACAAAAGGTTTCACCACCTCATCTGTCTCACCATTTAAAACACATTGCTTAAACTTTCATTCAAAATCCTCTATATACTATTTTAAGTGACATCTAATGTCACCATTACTTCAAATATGGATGTACCTCTCCACAACAGATTTGCAAACCCCAGGTAATAACATCAAGCTTTCACCCAAGACTCATTCTATTTACTTAGAGCCAAATCAAACTTTGTGATTCTCTTTAATTTATATAGTCCYGGAAGTTTGTTTGTTTTTAAGCCTACGGCAAGGGCTGTTCTGCTTAGAAGCATCTTCCTTCAAAAGCATGAAAGGGAGGGAAAAATGCAAGCCTCATCGCCCAGCCCTCCAAAATCCTGATTTTTTATGGCAATACTTCATGCTAAAATACAGAATTCAAGTGTTATTAGTGACAAAATAACACTAATGGTATCCCGATGGTGCATTGGTAAGGATTTTATTCTTTTTAAAGAGAAACTAATTCCTTTTCTAGAAACTGCCACTTCTCTCATTTTCTGAGTGTAACTCAGAAAGTCTTAAAAGCAAAATAGAAGGTGTTTTTGCTGTTCCAAGCTTGAAACAGCATGAAATAGGGAGGATTTTCCAGAAAACCAAATGAAGAAACCCTCTCCAGCACACTACGGGCAGTGGAGCACCACTGTTTTTCTTAGCAGTGAGAAAGACTGAGAGGAGCAGCAGCACTGTGAGCTATCGTCACGGCAAGTCCCAGCTGTGTAGTTTTAGAGAGGTGGCTGATGAAGAAACAGCCTTTATTCAAATCAGTTTCTCGTAGAAGCAATGTAGTTACATCGAGTTTATTAGCACAAGATAATAAAAACTTGTCTGCGAAGCGGACAGCAGGACTCAAGTTAAAAACGTGACCTACAGAATATTCCTTTATCCTCCCCAAACTGCCTTCACTGGACTCCATGGCTAATGTGCCTACCCCCAGTGTTAATGTAAGACATTCATACAAGGACAGTCAAATATTCAGCGAACTCTGCACCATATTATGCATAAACATAATAAACATTYAATAGTTTACAATATATGGAACTTGTATGTTTTTGTGATATGATTAATAATGATGGTTCTTACCTTAACTGGGAAACAATTCAACACAATTTTAAGTGGCAAATCCACCATTTATTTCTGCTTAGTCCAAAGGTGAACGCACAAAAACCTTGTAACTAAACAAGAGTTTAGCTACAAAGTTACTCTTGTTGCTGCCTGTCTCCAGTGTGGTTTGTCTAGATTACTAAGAATTCTCACTCTGACGTAAGATCACCTGTCTTCATATCTGATGTCATTTATTTGGCTTAATTAGTAATAGAGTTTTACTCTTGTTCCCAGAACATGATAGGTGTTTGTCCACTGAGATATACCTWGCCAACAGATTGGTCTTCCAGATGACAGACAAGTGGAACATAAGGAAAACAACAAAATCGGCCTACCTACAGTTGCTTAAAAAAAAAATCCAATCAGACTGAATATCGCTTGGACTGTTGCAGCACAAACAACAGGGACCAAAAGCAGGACTAACTAGGTGATAATATTTGGATTTATTTCACCCACCTGAGATGCATAAAGGAGTATTTTAACCTGGTTGCTGTACCAGGTCCACAAGGAGAGACATGGAAGTACTCACCGATAGTACCCTGACCTCCCTCCCCTTCAAGGACTAGGCTGATTGTGGGGAATTTAAGCTCCTGACTTAACATGCCTGAGGTTTGGCAGCACGAASACCCTCCCAGAATCTCTGCTGAAGATACCATGACTGGGAGGCCAAWGTCAGAGGAGGGAGAAGTTACACAGAGTCACAGCATCACAGAATGGTTGAGGTTGGCAGAGACCTCTAGAGATCATCTAGTCCAGCCCGCCCTGGTCCAGCRGGGACACCCAGAGCACGGGGCGGCATTCAGGCAGGTTTGGAAGATCTCCAGAGAAGGAGTCTGCACAACCTGCCTGGGCAGCCTGTGCCAGGGCTCTGTCACCCTCACAGTAAAGAAGTTCTTCTTCATATGGAGATGGAACTTCCTGTGTTTCAGCTTGTACCCATTCTTTAGAGAATAGAGAGCAAACCAGATTGACTACAAAGAGTACAAAAGCAAAGACTGAAGGACATTTTGCAGAACTCAGAAGGGCAGTATGCCCATGAAATATGCATGCACCCATTCAAAATCAAGGGAAAAATAACAGTTCTGCATTTTTGTCAACACTTGCATACAAAAGTTGACTTCTCACAAAACAACTAATCCCAAAATATATRATAAAAACTCTACATTTTACATGCACTCAAATCCTTCCTATCTTCTGCTCCAAGGACAGCTCTTGTGGAAGGCTGTATCTCCAACTTCTCCAAAACTCCCAAAGTTCACTGTAGCATTAGTGACTTTTTAATCATACGTCTGTCTTGTTTCTCATAGCCTGAGCAGGTCAGACTGCAACCCAGCCTAGCCGAGCTCTTCCAACTAGGAGCCAGCAGATGGTGCTATCAGTACGGGCCAACTCAGGCTATCCAGTCCCAGAACTGGTACCTACCACCCTATTCACATCACCCGAACGCTCACAGCTGTTGATGATCTCTCCCATGCCTGAAAACTGACCTAGTACCACCACAGTGCTACACTGTGTGAGAATATATTTGTTTTCCCTTGTAGTTTTTGTTCTTAAAGAAAAGTTAGCATTGATACATCCCACATTACTGTTCAGCCAGGCTTGTCCTGGGCAATACTCGGCTTGAAACCCATACAGCCTCAACATGGCTTTGCAGAGACTTCATACTTATAGTGCCCACTCACCAAGTTCCACTCCAAACTTGATCCAGAATTTGTAGCTTTGGCTCAAATCCGCCTTTACTCGCTAAGTCCCCAAAGGCTTCACTTAAATGAAATTTATATCAAAAAGCCCAGTTACTGAGGAAATCCAATGCTTTTACAGGTCATTCTATTACCAAGTGTTGATTTAAATGCACTAAGGGAAATAAACTCACAAAAGAAGTTAGTGTTTTAGTAGCAAACTGTAAGAAGGAGTGTTTTTAAATTCCCTTYGCTTATTAAGCATGCCAAGGGTCTGCCTGTCTGCTGCATTGCGATCCAGCTGGAAATGAAGTTTTTATTACCTGGCACATTTTTCTGCAAGCTCTYTAATGCTATAAAGGAGGAGTTTTATTAATAAAGCTCCCATCCTATGCCTATRTGTAAATGAGCTATTCCTCTTTTGCATAAAATAACCCCAAATCTGGAGTTTGGCCAGGACTCCACAGTTCACAAGGATCTATCTGAAAGGGTCACAAGACCTTTAAAGATTTCAAGGGAGAGACTGAAACGCCTACACTAGGACAGGTGAAAGTGAGCTATTTATCTAAGCTCCTTTCAAAGGCTCCTTTCAGAGTCAAAGGGAAATGAAGCCAACATCTAAAACAGATTAGATGACCTGTCCTCTGGAAGTACCTGTTTCTCTTCACAACTCAAGAAGAGTCTGAAGAAATGGGGTCAGACAGGCATGGACAAAGCTGGAGTAGGATTCACCTAAGTGAAAAGAGTCAAAACGGCACATCTTGCCAGGCTTGCCTCTCTGCAGAGCTGTGTTTCCTGGGAGTAAGTGGAGCACTGGGTCAGCACGTAATTGGAGGACAAAAAAGTCTTTAATTGACTGACTCCACTCCCMGCAATACCTAGACTTTTGAAGGCATTGCATCCTAACACCAAATCAGATAAATCCTGCTTAGAAATGGCAAAAACTCCAAAGATTACATTCAGACTGTCTGTATTCCAGCCAGGTCCCTAAACCAACTGTTTCTATTAGCCTGACATCTTTGATGCTCTAGAAACAGGCAGAAAGCAGCAGATGAGGCAGAGAAAGGTGCAGACTAGTCAAAATTCTAGTTAAATCTTCCAGAAGAAAGTGATTACTCGCATGCTGGCAGAGACCTTGCCCTATTTAACTATGCTATTGCAATTGGTTGAGGGCTACAGAATATATCAAGAAAAAGGAACAATAAAAATGGACTTTTAAAAGAATATGAAAACAGACCAGCTTTCATTTTGCTCCCACAGTTGATCACTGACAAAGAAGTAGAAGGGTAGCCTAGGTACACCTACAAATACAATTTTCATTTCAATTCATTTCAGTATGTCCTTTTTGTCCTCAGAGAAGTGATGGGACAACACAAAATTCTATATATAGCAGAAGAGTTTCTTCTTCATGTAGTGCTTGCAGTGTTTCTTTGTCTTCAAAATGGATATAAACAGATCCATTAAGTTGCATATGWCATTAAAATGATTAAGTACCTTAAGGTCTTGCCTGGTTGCCAGCAGCTCAGACTCTTTCCCATAAAGGTCCAGCTGAAGTTTTTCCATGTTTTGCTGGTGTTTTTCATGGGTCTTCTGTAAGTCTACTAGTTTTCCTTTCTCTGCTTTAAGTTCCTGTGCTGACAATATCATCTGTTGTTGCAGTTTATTCTCTAGTTCTGCCTGATGGCAGAGGAGGCATCAGTTAAAATTACAGATAGTAAAGCATGCACAAACATTTCAGTAAACTGTATTTCTACTAAAACATGAAATGAGAAGTCAGTTTTTCCATATATTGAAATAGCAAGTGGGTAATCTGATCTTTTACAAKTTTTATTGTAATAGTTGGTAACTTATTTAAAAGCAAATAATTTAATTCATGTCAAAAGATTAACTAAAACAYGTCAAAAATCTAAATAATGTTTCAGGCCCTGCACTTTCTATAAATTGAGTATGGTTACATTATTATTATTGCTGTTGTTTTTCAACCTCTAGCATCATCTTCCACATYCTGACATTCTTTCCCCCAAAAAAGCAATAGTAAACAGCTATTTATGCAATGGATATTGACAGAAAAGCAGAAGCTTTAATGAGAGAAAATCACAGTAATTTTCTTAAAGAAGGGAAACCTGATTTACCTTTTCTAAAAGGGCAGTTTTTAATTCAGCTTGCAGTGTTTCACTGTGCCTTTTCTTCTGTTCAAAGGATTCCTTCAGCTCTCTCAGCTTTCCCTGGAGATGCTGCTCACTTTTTTCTTTCTCTTTTAGAAGACCCTGAACTTCCAGTACTTGCGCCCGTGCTGAATCAAGTTCTATCGACAACTGCTTAGAAATCTATATTCAAAAGTATTAAATAACTGCATATAATTTTAACTTAAATCATATTTGTACACTCTTGTAGTACATGAAACAGCATATGCAACTGCATGGACTTAGACAAATTCACAAGGAGGAAAAAAAAAGTCAAGAGCTCTTAAGCCATAAGGCTCAGGAAATCCTGCACCAAAAGACTGTTAGAAATATCCCCTGGCTGTGCTGCCCTGACAGGCAGGAGCTGACCCTACGCTCCTTTCATCTGGGCATCTCCTGTTTTCCTCTGCCACGGAGAAGATACCAGACTATATCTTCCCTGTGATAAGGTACAGTCATTCTTGTATTTTCACAGAAAGCTACAGACTATTTGCAGCAGTTTCCAGCTGTGTTGTTCTTATTTTCTGCAGCCACAGAACTAGCCCATCTCACAAGAGTTGCTGCTCTGAATGCTGTTGCTGTTCTCTTGCTTCAGAATGAGGTGGCCCAACTCTGGCAGTTAGATTTAGCTTTTTATTAGCTCCTACAGCACACCTCCACATAAAGATCATCCCTTATCTCGTCTCCTGTCCTTACTGCAACTCCAGGTCTGTCAAATGATGTCTACTACATGTATCTTTTCCTGCTTCCTTTAGGGACAGTTTAGGTAAAGAAAATCATGAAGGGGATTTGGCCTTCAGGCTACCAACTGGAACACATGATTTTGCTGAGTGAAAGCTCAATCTTTAGGACAGAAGTTCATTTTGCCCACAATTATGAGAAGTTTGCAAAAGCAACAGAGATATCTGCAGCTTTCCTGTCAATCACACAGAGATCACACTGATTAGGCGGCAGAGTGATGCCTGAGCCTGAAACAGGTCTAAGGATATCTAAGGATATGAGGAAATACCTACTATATCCAATATCTAAGGAAATATCAACTTCTATTTCTCAAAGACCAAAGCATAAAACAAAATGATKACATACTAATGTAAAAATATTTTACTAATGACAAAAGAACTGAGAAGTAGAGAGTTCAGAAAGGTAGGTATAAAATTCGTATTTTAAAATAAAAAAGGTGAGAACCTTTAGTATCCACATTTCAGTATCCCAAGTAGGTTATAAACTGAGAACAGAACTACTTTCACCCTCATCAATCCCAGCATGTAAGATTGAAAATGAAATCTATTAAAAAAAACCATTTATTATTATTGGTTTCTAGATTTAGCCACGAAGTAAGACAGCTTACCCCCTCCTTCTTTTCCAGTGAGTTTTTCAGTTCATTCCTTTCTTTAGCTACAGACTCTGTTTGTACCTGAAGCTGATGTTTTACTTCTTGGCAAGATTTTTCCTAAAGAACAAATGATACAAGCAAATATTTCTGTGAGCTTCTAAGACCAGGTAGCAGTATTTTCACAGGAGCTACAAAGCCTTGAAAACAACTTTTTTTCTCAGCAAAATTTAGCTTTTTCAGCAAAAATTCATCTCACTAATAAAGCCCCAGTTCAGAAAGGCATCAAGAAACAGGTGACAACCTTTACTTAAAYGTAACCACATACTAAAGCGTTTCTCTGATTAGAAACAGTGTCCCTGTTGGAAGCTGCTTGTGGCAGCCCTTCTTCTCAGGGGAAGCAATACATTCAGTCAAGATCTCTTATTTCTTGAAATTCTAAAATTCACAAGCATGTCCATTTGCAGGACTTGAATGCAAGTTGAACCACATTTTTTGCCCAAATCCTACACGTTTAAGTCAGTGACGAGCCTCTAACAGACTACAGAATTAGAAGCAGAATCTGGACTCTTATCTTTAAGTCTAAATTGGGGAGAATAYCCTTCAAGTCTTTAGGAGAAACATAAATATTTAAACAGTGCCAAACAAGTAAAGCAAACAAAAAGGCTTATCTTAGAAGGGTGAAAGAGTAAAGGAAAAATATTATTTTTAACTAGGAACACTTTTTTATTTTTTAAGAACAGAATAAAAGAGCTATGCATGAGTTCTTGGAAATGGTCAGACAGGATGGGAATGAGAATTATACCCTGACAATGTCTGAGAAAGAGGTACAACAAAATGCATGTAAGAGATTTATAAAATGGAACTCAGTCACATTACTTCAGTAGCAGAAGGGGAAGGAAAAAAGGTGGGTTTTTTTTCTAACCTCATAAGAGTTCATTCTTCTTATTGTATCAGATGGCTCTAGTCAAGCATTCATTGCTGTACTGCCACTGTGAGACCTCTCTGAAACCCAAGCAGTTCTGTTTGAAATACTTTAAGCCAGTCATCTCCCCAAAGGAGAAATACTGTTATGCTAACTGCAGTCTGCATTAGCATACGATGTCTAGAGAAGTGCACAGGAACATTGTACATGAATGATTCTAGAAAGGAAACTGCTAAGGCTGCAGAACAATTCCTTCTTCAATATGGTGGCACTTCAGTATGGTTTATGGCTATGTTTTGTTTTGCATAACAAGGTTGATGTATTTTTAAAAGGGGGCATCTCCTGTAAAACTGTTTCACCACTCATCACTCTCTGGTTTTCTTCACCGTACTAAAGGTATTCAGCAGAGAAAATGCCAGTGTCTGGTATGAACTGTTTACTACTAAAAAGATCCAGACAAAAACTGAGGTTAGAATGTCTCTATGAACAACAAGAGAAACACACAGATTGTTTTTTCTTAGGGTAACTAATTTCCATGCAAGTGTCATTATATGTACTGTACTAGGAGTTTCCAGAAAAACTCATCAGACAGTAAAATACCCCAAACTTTTTGTTTAATGAAAATGAAATAACTCACCATTTCTGACACAGCTGTTTTTCCTTTCTGTATTTCTTTTTCTAATTCTTCCTTTTTTTTTCTAAAGGATTCAGAACTCTTGGAAAGCTTTTCTTTGGTAACCGTAAGGTCCTTTAATAGACTTTCCTTCTCTAATTTCATTTGTTGTAGCTCTGATGTTGCTGCTTGCATTCTACAATCCAATTCCTTGAGCTGTTTACTTGTATCTTGATTTGATTTCTCAAGATCTTGTTTGAGGCTGGTCTTCTCCTCCTCCTGCTTCAAAATTTGCTTTTTCGCTTGTTCAAGGGCCTCAGACTTCTCCTGTAACTCCATTTTAGTACTAGACACACTGAAAATATAAAGTAAAACCAAGGAAAACAATTTTTTTTTTCTTCATAGGTTCTTTTCTTTGATWAAATGTCTCTATTATTTAACATATTAACTGTACAAAAGAACATCTTAACATTTTCTCTCTCAAATGAACATGTACCATTTTGGGAAGCATTGCTCCTTCTCAAATATTATGTACAGAAACTACCCCTTTGCTAAAAAGTGCAGGTGCATAAACTGAAGAGGAGTGTATTAAATCCCAGGAGTAAGTGAKGCAGGTGAGAGGATGGGGCAAACGGGCCTATGTGGCAGATCAAGTGCAAGAAAGCAGAATATATCTCAGTTCCCCTAACATACGGAAGGCATGACTTTTATCTATAGTTTTATAGATAATACAAGAGTGAGGAACATTTCAATTCTAGCCCAAAGTTTCATTTTAAGAATAACTTTTTCCAAAAAATATTATCAGGCAGGAAATGCATACACTTCTTTTTCAGCTTCAAGTTGTTTACTCAGCTCTGCTGTTCGGAGGCCTAGTTCTGTAGACTGCTGTCGCTGCTGCTGTAACTCCTGCAGAGCTTGCTCTTTGCTTGCTTTAGCTTCAGAAATGTCAGCTTCAAGTTTCTGAGAAAGCAAAATAAAAATCCAGAGCTAGAAGAACACAAACAACATTGCAAAAACAATAAAAACAAAAGTCACCCAGTCTATAAGGAGAAGTATTTATTTGTAAGGCTATGGAGGAACTCTTTGCTGTGTAAAGCAGTAACCGTTTTCACACACTGCATATCTATTTCAGTAAGTTTGCTATTTGCTTTTCATTACTTAGCTTCTCCAATTCTATTGCTCTCCTARAAATGATCTACTTTGGAATGGGCTAATGCCAAAAGATGATGATGGTGCTATTTTTTTTACACAGAAGAGCATCTGTTGACAGCATCCCTGACTGGTTTTCCACTTCAGCTCCCAGTGACCCCACAAAAGTCTTGGGCAGGAAAACAGTGCAAATAAAACTCTTGAAGAAATGTGAAAATAAAAGAAACAGGAATGAAGAGTGGGCAGGAAATAACACTGGAAAAGAAAAAAGAAAGAGAAGAAAGCACAAAATAAATGCTAATAAGGCAAATATACAACTGCTTGATTTTTAATGGTGTTGAATTGGTTGCTCTTGAACCATTGTTGAATGATTCTTCATATGGGGAAAAAATTTGCTTCTCTATTACAGATTACGTAAGGCAAGAAAAACACCCAACTCATTCCTGCAAAAAAATCAAACAGCACAAAGTTTTCATATCTCCCTCGTAACACACAACTCTATAAAACCTATTCTGCATTGCTAAGATTTCTGTATCATATGGTTTTACATATTGTGACTTTTGAAGACTAAGACTTCTGAATAAATATTAAACAAATATTACAGCCCAAATTTTAAAAGACTGAAGCATTAACACAAATTTATATCCTTAACTGAGAATATTAGCATTTCAGAACATCAATAGAGTCTGCAACACTGCCAGTACTATGTACGCTGTCATATGAAAACTAATTCCAGAAACAGAATGAAACAGAAAATTCAGATGGACAAAGATTTTTCTCTTGTGTATACAAACATTAAAAAAAAAAAATCCATAGAAAAGTCTATTGAAAGGTTTCAGAAATAAATTAAAACATACAGGTCGTGTTAACTTGACCTAGCTGATGTAAACACATATTCCCTGGCACTACCTGTACARTATATAAGCTCAAACCACGGAGGCTCTGATTTCAGACAGTATTAAGGTTTCCTCTTGTAATACCAGTCAGGTAGCAAAGAGGTTTCTAGAAGTACACATACAGGAAAACGATGTTATAGGGGCAATTTCCTAAGCCTGTCCCCTTAGTGTAATATGGTAGCATGGAAGAAGAGAGGAGGATTAAAGGGGAAGATTGGCAGGGTGAAAAAAAAAACAAAAAACTCGCAAAAGTGGTATTGATATAATCCTTTCCCCTGTATTTTGAGCGCAGCCTTTATCCAGTCCTACCAAATGGTGGAGAGCATGAGCTTCAGATTCTGTTCTATACAAACCTTAAGCTGTCCCTCCAGCTCTTCAGTTTTCTGTTCTAAATTAAGATGTTGCTCTTTGTACTCTTTGATATTGGCTTCCAGCTGAGCACAGTATTCCTGCTTGTCGTTCAGCTTAGCCGTAACCTGATTCAACTGAGTGCTGACCTTAGTTAACTCCTGGGGTAAAATACAAGTGAGATGGTTGTTAGTTTTTAAATAACTTTCAAAAATGACTAATAGCCTCAAAATATTATAGTCTTTAAATGAAAACTAAAAGGAAAAAAATGCCTCTTTTTTTATTCTCCGAGCAGGGGAAGTGAGAGTGGAAAACAAGCACACACACAAATAGAAGCTGACAGAACTTCTTTGAAAGCCTCAATGATCCTCTCTAATTTCACACACTGTGGGCTACATCTTAACAAATTCCTCTTGAGTTATAAATGGAAGAGAAGCTGGCTATAATGAATACATGAAAGCCTGCAGTTAATACAGCAGTAACTAGAAAGTAACACTAAAATATTTTAGGGGAAAATTTTGCTGTCTTCATGAAATCAAGCACTGCTGAACAGAAAAGTCAATACCATGGGAATTGTCAAATCTCCACATACCAAAGACAATTTCAAAACATTTGGTTCACCACAAAATGATGCAACTTCCAAAAGAAAAATGAATACATTTAGCTAGCAGCCACTAAGGTAAGAGTTACAACCTGCTGTAAGCCAAGCAAACTGGGTTAACTAATTACTAAAACATAAAACAGTTGTAAAAAAAAAAAAAATCAATCTGTTGCTATTTATAGTAGTTACATTCCAACCTGAAAAATGTTGCTAAGTTCAGACTCGCCGGATATCTCCACTATGATGACAGTAGCACTGATTTTAACAAGGCAAACACTCAACTCAGCACCCAGTGGAATGTTTCACTCGGGTTAAAGCACACACAGACAGCTTTAACAAGGCTCTTCTGGTTTCTGTGTCAGTTTGATCATACAAAACTTTCAGAATGAACAATTTAAGTTATTTTGAATTTATCTGAGTCTGCAATTCAAGTCAGAGTTTCCCATTAACACACAGCACATTCTCCAAACTTCTATTCATAACATACAGTTTAGGATAAACTATATCCTGGTACGACAGCTTTGATTCTGAACCCTAACTGTGCAACAAAAGGTGGATTCAAAAATAAATTCTTTATACCGATGAATGTGTCTAATCCAGATGGCAGTAGAAAAAAAAAAAAAAAAGAGAGATAAATCATGTAGTCTAAATGTGTTACATGAGCATTTCCAAATGCAAATTCCTGTATGTTTGTTTAGTTTGTGAACAGACAAATCTTACAGTTTTTAAAGGTGTCTGCTTGTTTGTTTTCTCCAGGTAACCCAGAAGCATTAAGTTTGCAATACCTGTTGCTTATCCTGCAGTGCRTGCTGCGCAGTGTCCAGGTGATTCTGAAGATCTGCTCTCTGGGCAGCTTTTGATGCCTCTGCTGAAAGCAGCAATTCAGTCTTTGCTTTCACCTGAAAGAAAAATTGTACTTGACTAAAATGTCTGTTTTGCTGCAGTTGATTTTAATTCACTTGTACACTAGTCAGTAAGTTTAACAGGAATCACCAGCAGTTTTCAGATGCTAGAATATAAAAAAAGAAGAAACAAAATCTCAGGTTCTGGAAACAGAAAATAAAAAACAAGTTAGGAGAGAGCACAGCTAGCTTTTATATTGAGCTATAAAACCTGGTCCCACTCGTCTTCTAGTCCAGGAAAATATTTTCATTTACAAACAAGGAAAAATGAGATAACCTCACTGCATCCACCAACAGGCATACCTAGACAATATCAAACATGTACACTGGAGGCCTTCCAAAATTATCAAAAACAGAAGATAAATAATAAAAAACAAAAATATGCTTCCACACGTGTTCCACCTTTCTCTGTTTCTATCCTGCAAGCCTCCTCCTCTGCAAAAAACTCAAATCAGCAAAATTTAGAAGGCACATATGAATAATGTTGGTGAATATAGGCAATATTCAAAGGATGTTTTGTTTGCTATTGCAGTTTCCTATTTTTCCTTTCTTTTTTTTTTTTTACTATTATTTTCCATATATTTGGAGGTTTTTATGCCAAGAAAGTACAAAGTTCAGGTACCTGTATATCGAGTTGTGATACTTTC